CCTGCCTCTATACCGAGGTCTTATAACTTTACCTGCCTCTATCCCGAGGTCTTTTAACTTTGCCTGCCTCTATACCGAGGTCTTGTGAATAACCCTGCCTCTATACTGAGGTCTTATGAATAACCCTGCCTCTATACCGAGGTCTTACATTATGAACAGTGTCTCTTACCTTCTGAGACTTTACCAGCCGGATGCCCTGGAGTGCTAGAGTTCTGGCTGCTCTTGACGCAGAAGAAGGTTCCCCGTATGGGCCACCACTTGTCGCACAACTGACGACTCCGGAGACGGTCTTCTCTTCAGCACTTTATTTCCCCAGGCTATGTTACAGAAGTTCTTCCCCCTTTCCCTTTCCCCGGGGCCTTATAAAGGGCCCCTAGCCAATCAGATCATTGTCCACGTGCACGGAAGCCAGTCCTCGAAAGAGGATTGGTTGCATGTGGTGTTCCCGTGCTCTCCACGCTCCCCACTGCCCTATTTCCATAAAGTTGTTTACTGCTTTGAGCGCTCAGCGGGCTTCCGTTGAGCGCCATTTTGAAATAGGTGCTGAGGGCGATGGACGGGGGCGCTCCACACTCCCTCTCTGTCTCTGGTAAGCTCACTCACCCCCTGGCCCAAAAGAATGAGGGAAAATGGAAGTGAAAACACTCCTAATGGGACATAGTCACACCACAATCATTTTTCTGTCTCTCTTTCCCATCAGGATTTTGAGCATGTATGTACATATTCCCATCATGTTTTTCAAGTCAACAGGGCTGTGACTTAGACCAGCTGGCCATGTAGGATCCAGCTCCCTTAACCACTAGGCCATCCTAGTGGGACCATCCTGTATGTAGGGATTTTAGGTTTTTTTGTTTGTTTGTTTTTTAATTAACTAAAGGGTGTGCATGCTCTCCAGATAGAGAGAGGGAGAGAAAGTGAGAAAGAACCTCCGGAGAGGGATGGCCATGCCACAATCCTTTCTCCATTCTCCTCTCAGGATTTTGGGCATGTCAGCACATGCACTTGGTGTGTTTTTCAAGTCTCTGGGACCAGAACTCAGACTGTGCAGTTGGCCATGTGGAATCCAGCCACCTTAACCACCACACTGCCAGCTGGCTCCAGAGTTTCAAATGTTTTTACACTAAAATAAACTCGTACTTTAGTTCCATTTTCCCACAAGCTTGCCTCATACAAGTTTATCATTTTTAAATAGGGCTTTACATATTTCTTTCTGATCCAGGTGTCTTTTATTTCTTGTCCTGTACTAGAACTTCCAGCAAAATGTTGAATAGAAGTATAAAAGCTGACCTTAGGAGCAAAGCTTTCAGTCTTTTACTGTTAAGTATGATATTAGCCAGTGGTTTTTCATAGATGTCCTTTATCAGTTTAGTAGCATTCTCTTCTGTTCCTAGTTTGTTGAGTTTTGTCATGACATGACATTCTCTTCTGTTCCTAGTTTGTTGAGTTTTGTCATGAATTTAGTTGAATGATTTTTTGCATTGACTGAAATGATCATGTGGTTTTTGTCCTTTATGCTATTGATTTTCTTTAGCTACTTTTGTATTTCCGAGATAAATTCCAGTTGGTCATGGTTTATCATTCTTTTCATATGTTGATGGATTCAGTTTGCTATGATTTTGTTAAGAATTTTTTCATTTCTGTTACTAAGGAATATTTGTCTATGTTTTTTCTTTTGTGATCTTTATCTACTTTTGTATCAGTAATACTAGTCTCATAAAGTAAGTTAGAAAATGTTCCCTTCTGTGGGACTAGCAATTAGCATAATGGCTATGTCACAGAACTCCCACATAGTTGACTGTGGTTCAAGTCCTGGACCCGGTGGCTTAAACTCACTCCAGTCGCGTGTGTGTGCGTGCTCAAGATCCTGAGAGGAGAATAGAGGAGAAGGGATTGCAGTATGGCCATGCCCCCTGGGGGGTGATTTCTTGATTTCTATTTCTATGTCTCTCCCTGTCTTTCTGACGAGCACACATGCCCTATAGCAAAAAAAAAATAAAATAAAAAAAAGGAAAAGAAAAGAAAAGAAAATGTTCCCTCCGCTTATACTTTCTGGAAAAGTTTGTGGAGGATTGTCGTCAGTTATTCTTTTGGAGAGGTATGACCATGCTGCAATCCCTTCTCCTCCATTGTCCTCTCGGGATCTTGGGCACACACACACACTTGCCCGGTGTGAGTTTAAGCCACTGGATCTGGGACTCGAACCGCAGTCAACTACGTGAGAATCCAGCGATACAGCCATTACGCTAACTGCTGGTCCTGCGGTTGGTTATTCTTTAAATATTTGGTAAAATTCGCCATGAAGCCACATGGTCTTGGTTTTTGCTTTGTGGGAATTTTTTTTTTTTTTTGAGAGGTTTTCGCTATAGGGCGCGTGCACTCGCCAGACAGAGAGAGACATAGAGACAGAAAGCGAGAAACTACCCCCCAGGGGGGATGGTCATGCCGCAATCCCTTCTCCTCCATTCTCCTCTTGGGATCTTGGGCACGCACGCACACGCACCCAGCGTGAGTTTAAGCCACTGGATCCGGGACGCAAACCGCGGGTCAACTACATAGGAGTCCAGTGACATAGCCATTATGCCAACTGCTGGTTTCCTGTGGGAAATTTTTGATTACTAATTTAATCTCTTTGTTATAGGTCTGCTTAGATGTTCTGATTCTTCTCAAGTCAGGTTTGATAGTTTGTATCTTTTTTGAAATTGTTTCATCTAGGTCATCTAATTTTTTTGTATTATATATTACTTTTTAACACTGACAATTTTTATAGACTATTTTTCAAACTTTCTGCTGAAGATCTACCTTTCTATATTTGGCTCAACTCAAAATTGTTTCATTATATGTCATACATATATGTTATATATGAAAGCAGCACATTGGAAAAATGATCTTTTTTAATTTAAAAAGTCACAGTCTCTTAATATTTTATATTTTGTCTTTTAGGATTGTGTATTCATCAAACAGAAATATAAAAAACTATGAAGATGAAATTCTTAGAAAAAAGTTACTGGAGAATGGAATACCACAACAGAAACTTGACTTCAATTTTCAAAAATGTAAAAAGTCGTCTGATTGTGCTCTTCAGAAGCGTGAAATTCAAGAGAATATCAGTGAGAGAGATGACAGTTTAATTTCCAATGGTGAGGTGTTTTTTTTCCTAGATTTTTATAAAGTGATATAGCCATGAAAGTTATTCTGATATAGTTAGAGAGACACTTCAAAATTGCACTCTACTGATTAAAAAAATATATATATATGAGGAGTGCCGGCAGATGGCATGGTGGTTAAAGGCCCTGGATTCCCATATGGCCGACTGCAGTTCTCGTCCAGGACCAGGCAGCTTGCTTTCACACTTTCCCTTTCTCTCTGTCTCTGTCTCTGTCTGGTCAAAATTTAAAATAATAATAACAAATGGAATTAAATAAATGAATAATTCTTTTGAAAAAATTAAATAAATGTGAAGAAATGAAAATATTGTACCAGTTGGTTAACTCCCAGTTTTCCCATTAATTAGAGATAAGTTTGTTATTAATACATCCATACGTAATCCTCAATTCTTATTTTAACCACACAAACCTCTAACATGTCCTTGTCTTTATTTAATCTATTAGGTTCAGGAAAGGCATGCTGCATTCCT